CTCTAACCGATAGTCGTAGAACAGCTGTGTCGTTTTTGCAATTTAGATTTTTCTTGCCCAGTTCAAAAGTTGTTTCTTAAATTTAATGCATTTGTGTGTGAAACGTACAAAATGGAGCGCAAAGAAGTGGATACACAACAGTTCATCGACCACGTAAGCCCCTGTCACAATTAGCAATGAGCTTATTAACATACATATGTTTCGAACAATTGCAACACACAGACGCTGCTGGCGACGGAGTTGATGCAAAACAACTTTATGATGGATCTCATGGACCACACGGGTGTATTTCCGAAAACAGAAGGACCCACCAATCTTAGTACCACGACACACCACAGCACCACCAATGGCGGCGGCTATGTGGAAAAGCATACGCTAACATCGCCGGAGCTCAATTTTCACAATACGATCTTCCAGTTCGTCAACAAACATGTTGTCGAGGAGCCGAACGGAGCGCGAACAGACGCTGTGCCCACGTCACCTGAACGCACAACAAACAACTATGTCAAAGATACGGACGTGGAGTTTCTCACACTAAACAGCAGTTTCTTGGATCGCGCTGATGCGGCTGCAGCTGCAACAGCTGGTGGCAACGAGAATGTGGTGGCCCAGCAGGTGCCACAGCCCACCTTTCCAGCTCTGGCCATCGAGCCGACAGTGCCCATTGACGTCAATGCAGCGCTGCATGGCGACGATCTGCTCTACGCCCACAATGCATCCGTAACGAACGCACGCAAGGTGCTGCCCCATAAGAAGCGCATCTCACGCAAGCTCAAGGGTTCTGTTTGTGGTCTTATGGAGGGCGAGCTGGAGCAGCATAAGCATCAACATGTCGTGTCTACAGTGGCCAACTATAGCTGCGAAATATGCGGCTATGCAGTGAACACACAAATCGAATTTTATGCCCACCTCAAAGAGCACTACGATCCGGGCAGTCTTCAGCAGCGTCTAGATGTGCCACAACAGCAGCAGCAGCAACAGGTGCAGCAGCAGCAAGTGCAGCAGCAGCAGGTTCAACAGCAGCAGCAGCAACAACAAAAGGAGCCGCTGGACATGTGCGGCTTGTCCGCTCAGGATAAGGTAAGCGACTGCATCTAGTCACCAGCCGGAATGAGTAAGAAGGTGAAGAAGCTGAAATGTATCTACTTTCTTTTTATCTTACCAATTATTCCCAAACTTGACTAATAAATATCTCAATCTCCTTTGTAGTTGCAGCAAGAGCAGGCCAAGCTGGATCAAGTGTTTCAGGATGTGCAGCTGAACTTTGAGAACTTTCACAACATTAGCCATGTGGATGACGATGTGGTGGACGATGTGGGCGTCAATATGGTCATACATGCAGATGCCATGTCGCTGCACAAAGCCGATGGCAAACTGACGCCCGTCGGAGCTGCGAATGCTACTGCAACAAATGCTGTGGCCGTTGTGGATGATGTGGAGTTCAGCGATACGGAAGATATGTTAGAGGGCATACGCAACGTGGTGGACAAAGTGTCTGTAGAGGATACCTGCGATGCGCCTTGGTTTAATAACAATTTCAGTGACATTGCCTTCTCGGGTCTGTTGCTGCCGGGCGAACCGCCGCCGGTGCCCCCTCCAGCAGCACCTACTCCACCCGCTGCGACGCTACTAAAGTCGTCAAATCACATGGATGACCATCCGCAGGATGAGCAGCTGACGCTGAATTTCCTAAAACAATCTACACAACCCAAACTGGAGATGGGTCACAAGAAAAGCTACATTGAGGCAATTGCTGCAGCTGAAGCTGCGGCAGCAGCAACGGCTGCCATGACAAACTCAACCGCAACCTCAATGTCGCCGCCAGCACGCACGCCCACGCCCAACGATGGCTCCACCATCGAGCAGCTGCAGCGTTCGCCTCTAATGCTCAGTGAATCCTTTAAGCTGGAGGATGTGGAGACCGCAGCGCCTACAGTCAGCGCCAATTCATCGCCAGCGGCGGCCGACGTCATCGACGACAACGCAGATAGCTATCTCATGGAACCGGACAAGCCGCCGGTCGATGAGCCTAGCGATACCAAGCGCAAGTTCCACTGCGATATTTGCGCCCGAGATTTTAATTCATACAATGCGCTCAAGTATCATCAGTATACGCACACCAAGGAGCGAGCCTATCCGTGCAACACATGCGAGCGATCCTTCTACACGCAGAGCGCACTCAAGGCACATGAACGAACACGTTAGTCTTGTGCAGAACAGATCTTATATGTCTTGCATTTTCAATATTCTTCAAAATATTTCAGATTCCGGCATCAAGCCGTACAAGTGTGAGAAATGCGACTTCAAGTTCCGGCAGTGGGGCGATCTCAATTACCACATCATCTCACGGCACACCGAGGTGAAGGCGCACATGTGCGAGTACTGCGGCAAGAGTTTCTCGCGGAAGTACTCCCTAGTGCTGCATCGGCGCATCCATACCAGCGAACGGAACTATGCTTGCCAATACTGCACGAAAACGTTTCGGGCCAGCTCCTATTTGTTGGCCCACACCAAAGTGCATACGGGCGAGAAGCCGTACTCGTGCAGCGTCTGCGATAAGAAGTTTCGCGTATCCGGCGATCTGAAGCGCCACACACGCATACACGATCCGGCACGGTTGGGTCAAACCACATCGGAGTCGGCGACAAAGAAACGCAACAACAAGCTGAAGCAAATCGAGGACGAGGATGTCGAGGCGATCATCAAAAACAAGTCTGAAGCCCTGTGCGGCGATGCTGAACAGGAAATCTTGGGCTTATAGCCCAATGCCAAAAGGTTTCTACGCAAATAGTATTAGCGTGACAAATACAAAGACGACAACGTCTCTGTACAATGTATATAGTTAAGAAGCAGAAAGAACAACAATGAATGTAATTAAGAGAAGTAGAGCTAATAAATAGCATTAGGAAAATTCATAGAGGTTATCAATGATAAAGCAAAGAGACCAAAAGAAAGTGTTTAAGGAAATTTCAATTTAAATGGAAGATCAAATAAAGTTGGAAGTGTTTTGTGAACATAAATAACCGATATTTTAATCACCTTTAAAAATACCGTTCCAACAGCTTAAAAAAAAACTCGGTTCACAATTTCTTTTTTTTCGCTTACTATTGCAGAGCATTTCTTTATTATTTTTTATCATCTTCGAATTTTTTTTTTCTTTTTCAATAATTTCTTCTTGACTTCCTCCTCTTTTCTTTTTGCACTTGTACCGTTCATCGACTTAATTCTTAGGGTTTTTGTTTTTACCATTCATCATGTTTAATGAGTAATTTTATACACACATATATATCTTTATATATATATATCTGTATATATATATATATATGTATATTTATCGTAATTATTAATGTAACTATGTACAACACAAGTGCCGTGGGGCCATTTTGCTGTCCCTGCGGCCACAATGAAATCTTTGTATTTCGTTTACAACTTAACTTGTTTATCATTTGTGTTTCAAAATTATTCAACATAACCTGCCTAACTCAACTCTTCTTCTTCTTGTTCGTCTTGATTTGTGTGCTTGTTTCTTTTGTTTTCCTCTCACAATTTGCCTTTCACTTTAAACTTAAAAACTAGAACCTAGTATCGGTTGCTTCACTTTGCTCTCTCTCTTTCTAACATACGCTCAGTCCATGATATCTTCCTTCCTCCATATATATGTATATATATATATATATATATATATATAATTTCTTGGGTTTCGTTTTCCTCTTTTGTTTCACAAACGTTAAATTTAAAATTAAAAAAAAAAAATGATGAAAACTGCTTTCCTAGTACCTCGCTTGACTCTAATCCTGCTCGATCTTTGATGGATTCATTACAGATTTGTTGGTGGTGTGGATTATGCGTTTCTGGTAGGTATCTCTCTTGCTCTCTCTTATCTCGCTGTGTGTATAAGTAAGTGTGTGTTGGAAATTGTAGGGTATATGTGATTATTGTGACTACATTTTGGATTTGAAACGGAAATGTTTTGCTTGCTTTTCGCTGCTGAATATGAATTTCAATTGGTTTTACTTTTGCTTTGAATATTTTCGTTTTCTTTAGGTTTTTTTTTTTTCAATTTTTTATATGCTGTACTTAAAAATGTATGTTCTGCAGCTGTGGCATTTTTGCTATGGTTGCACACAAAAAATTACTGTTATTTTGGTTTTAAATTTAATATTGGATTTATTTTTTTGGGTATTTTGGGTTTTTGTTTTTCTTTACCATTTTTGTTTTGCTTACATAAATTGTTAAAGAAAATTTAATGCTGCTTTACTAATACACTTAATGTTTTATTTTTTTCTTTGCCAATTATTTTTTATTGATTATATGTTCTTCTTTGACTATTTTGTTGCGTTTAGCTCAATCAATCAATCATCAATCAATCAACCAAAAATCGTGTTGTTTTGTTTCTGGTGTTGGCAGCTTTTTGGTATTACATATATTTTTTATTGTGTATTGATTTTTTTTATATATTTTTTTTTAGCTTTTTTATAAAATAGCTTGATTTAATCTTGTACATTCAACACATATTAAACTGTATTTACTTTTAATTTTTGTTTTTAACTGCCCAACTGAGTTTTTGGTTTGAATGTTTTGCATACAAAAATGTTTATTGTTTTTGTGTTTATTTTGTAATATTTTAATTTTTGTTGTTTCTTGTTGTTTTCTTTTGCTATTGTTGCCTGTTGCTGTTTTCTTTTTGTCCCCAGTGTTTGCTACGCTATTTTCTCTTTGCTCTTCTCTGCTTCCCTCACATTTGCAGCTTCTTAAATCATTTTTTTTTTTTTTTTTTTTTTTTTTTTTTTTTTTGTTTTTTAAAATTTTTTTTTAAAATTTTTTTTTTTTTTTTTTTTTTTTTTTTTTTCTTTGCGTTTTACACAATTTTTATAGAAATATAATTTTTTAGTTTTTTATAATTTTTGTTTTCTTTTGAGTCTTCGTTCTACAATCACACCACAATTTCTTTGTTTTTTTTTTTTAATATTTATTTTATAATAATTTTTTGTTTTGTTTTTTGTTTTTTTTTTTTTTTCTTTTAGTTTGTCTGACTGCAAACACATTTAAAAATATTAAAATACTTGCTAACAAATGTAGCTCTAGCCAATTTTGAAAATGATTTCTTCACCTCTTCAGCTTCTTGCTCTTCTCACCTATTTGCTGCACACAAATACAATATTTACAGTTCTGTAGCTACTACAAACATATATAGTTATATATATCTAAACTTTGCCAACTTTACCAGGATTTTGTTTTACTGCTGCTTTATTTATTTTATTTTTTTATTATTTGTTGTTTTAAAATTGTGAAAAAATAGCTGCTTCTATTGTTAAGTTGTTATTTTCTTTTAGCATATTTTGTTGTCTGTTTTAAAACTTGAATTACTTTTAGCTTTACATAATTTGATTTGATGATATTTGTTTGTTGTTTTGCCTTTTGTTGTTTATTGTATGCCTGCTGTTTGCCTGCTTGTCTCTCAGGCCGGTTTGATCGGGTTCTGTGCGCCTAATTGTGGGGCCAGTGCGCGTTAATCAACACTGGCTGCATAGGTACGTTTTTACAGTTTGCAGTTGTTGTTGTTGATGGTTTGTTGTTGTTGTTGTTTGTATAAAAAGTCTTTGATTTGCCTTTTCCTTTTAATTCGCTGTTAGCGCGCTCTGCATTAGAGACTCACCTGCTGCATCTTATCAAAATCTAAACACGGCCTATGTGGTCGCTGCAGTCTCTGTGTGGCGGCAGCAACAGTAACGCCAGCATCCCCACCACCACCAGCACCAACTGTTGCTGCTGTGCCGCTGCTGGCAACATTATTGCTGGGACGACGATGCGGCGAAATGGCGCAATGAAATAATTTCGCGGGCGGACTAACCGAGCGCACCTCCATATCCAAGCCGGTTGTGGAAGCCGGACTGCTTCTCGAGCTATTATAATGGAAACTATATTTGGGCTGCGGCTGGTAAATGTGATGCGAGCTGTTGCTCATCTTCAATGAGCTGCTGCACGCCTTTATAACGCTCGGCTCGTTCTCGTTGCCCTCGTTGCCGGCTCCAGCGCCAACTCCGAATTTCGAGCATTTGTTGCTGTTGCTATTGTTGTTGCTGTTGGTGTTGCTGTTGTTGCCGTCGCCGTTCTCCTCATTTACACTATTATCACATAATTTAATATTTTCGATGCCACATCTGGCCTCCGATAATATCAGTGGCGTTGTGGAGCGGAACATCATATGGCTACGATTTGGCTTAAATGCCTCCAATGGCGGCGATGTGCGAAAATTCACGGGCGTCAATATTGGCTCCAGCGAGTTGCGCAACTGTAAGAATGAAATTGATGCTTTTTATTTACTGATTTCTTTTTAAACTCGTTACTTTACACTCGTTAATCTTCATATCATACTTAGCTCTCTCTCTCTCTCTCTATACTCTTTACATACCTCATCATCGGAGCTATGAGCCAGCGAACGCTTGCGATTCTCAACCATTAGCGTCGAGCTGGAACGCTTCGAATTGGATGATGTCGTGGCACGCTCATCGTATGGCGCCTCCGTGTCCAGGGACGAACTGCAGCCTCGATTCGATAGACGCGACGCACTGGACGACGATGCCCCTGGACCACCGCTGGCGATTGTTGTTGTTAACGCCGCCGCTGCCGCTGCAGCTGCCTCGGCAGCGGCTACCGCTGACGGCCCATTGATCACCTCAAGCTCCTCCTCCGAACTATGCTGATCGTACATGAGATGGGCGCAGGATGACGACGACGATGTCTGATGGTGACACATCATTGCAGCAGCAGCGATCGCAGACGACTCGGATGAGCATGCAGTATCGGTAGTAGGTGAGTTAGCATCCGTACAGGAACTCAAACCTGTTGAGCGTGGACAAACCAAGTTTTTAATTAATGATACATTTTAACAGTCTATGCAGATGGTGCAAAATATCGATAACAATTAGAGCTTTAACAATTTTTCACGAATTTCTTCTTGACAAAAAGCAGATAGCTACAGAATCCTCGATATCAATCAATTACAAAAGAAATTGTATATTCTTAATTCTCAATTGGATTCAATAAATATTAGTGCCAAATATTAGCCTAAATAGATTAATTCTGTCATATTCCTATTCAAGAAAACTCGTAAATATGTATTGTTACTGAACGTGAATACTTTCTCATCTCTTTGAAGCGCAATCAAATTCGAGTTCTTATTGTCACCACTCTTTGAAACATAATCAGATTCCAATTGATACTCATATTAATATCGATAAGATTCTAGTCATAATTTCAAATTAGCATTTTTATCCTCATTGATTACGTTTATCACAATTCATTTACTTACTAGTTTCCATATCCACGTCTAAGTGACGTTTGTTTTCCACATCGAGGAGTTCACCATCAGATTCGGTGCCAGAGTCATTCGATTCACGCTGTAAGCACATTAAATAAATTATTAAACAATTTGTCTTATTTTAGTTATAATTTAATTATCAATTAATTTTATTATTGTGTATTATACTTTCATTATTATTTTCGTATACACATGTATGTATGTGTTTATTTGTGCTTTTAGCGCCCACCTTTTTACGCAGAAAATTTTTCGATGCCTTTAATGAATTCTCGCGATTTTTGTGCCTGACAAACTTTATCATGATTTTTTGCTGTGTGCTTTGTTTTATTTATTACACATTCCACACGCACTCGTACACTCGCGCACTAGAGCGCACACACACGTTCGTGTTTACGCGACGCTGCACCCGCAACACAGAAAAACTTACTACTATGATAACGTCGGCGTCAGCTGCGACTGCGACTGCGACGCCCCCTTTCCAACACCTTTTGTACGTTTCTGAATATGTGAGTGTGTGTTGGGTGTCCGTGGGGTCCTCTCACTCTAATTCCTATTACTATTACTACATGCTAGTACATTTTGTGCTGTTACGTTTTCCACTCGTTTTCGGTTTCTATTTATTCGCCATCAGTATATGTATTTTTGTTTGTTATTTTTTGCTTTACTTTGCTTCCTGATTTACGCGAGAGCTCGATTGCGCGCTCACTCACTCGCTTACGCTAACCCTCACTCTTTCTCTCTACCTCTCTGACTCTCGTTCTTTCTCGATGTCTCTTTCTCGTTGTTCACTGTTGCCGCCTACGCGCGCCTGTTTGGCGCGTGTAAGCGCCGTTTCCTTTTTGTGCAATAATTTCAATCACGTTTCATGCGCGGCGTTTTGTTGTAATCTACACTGTTTTTGCACCACCCACAGCAACAACAACGGCAACAAAAGCAAGAAGAAGAAGGTTGCCACTTTACATATATGTTTATTCGTGCCAAGAGCCGAACTGAGCCGAACCGAACCGAACCAAGCCGAGCCGAGCGAACGCGCACCTTTCGCCGTAACTTATACAGCACGAAATTATCGATTTTCGGTCTCGTATTTGCGGAAGCAAAAGTTCTTCAACAGGATCTCACGACCAGACAGTAGTCGGCAGCAGTGTCAAGCGAAAAAAAAAAAAAAACAACAAAAAGCAGGAAAAGGCTGCTGGCTATTAGTTAAATAATAATATGGCTTCTGACTTAGTTTACACTTATGCGTATTGATTAATTTTTTTTTTAGCTGTTTGGTCACTTGCTTTACACAACATTTGCAAGCAATTGCATTTTTTTCAGTTGCTGCAATTCTCTCTATGGCAGACTTTTCGGCTCGCCGACTTATTACTACTACGTATTACTATCATCACCCGTCACCGGCTAGCGCTGTGCTCAAACTGAAAAATTATGGCCAAAAAATCTCTGCGCTGGCGCTGGAGCTCTGCTCCGCCGACTGAGGCTGCTGTCGCTGCGCTCTCACTTGCAATTTCTGTACACTTATGTATGTGTGCGCGATTGTGTATTTGTGTGTAAGCTTTTTGCACTGGTTGACTGGCTGAATTGCTCTGTATATGTGTACGAGTGTATGAATAGGTCTGCGGGGTGTGGACTAGGGGCCAAACATGCGCGCACAACTCGTGCCACTTCGTGCGCCTTCGACGGAGCTTCGGTTGTGGAAATGCAGCGAGTTTAGCAGCATGCTCGTAGTACATAGTATTTATGGGCAGAAGAAGAAGAATAAGCAGCAGCGACAGCAGTAGTAATCATTGTCAGCGAGGAGTAATGCAACAAAAAAGCACTAGAAGCAAGAAAAAATACCAAAGCGTACAAAAGTTGATATAAAACAAAAATTATTTGCGATAAAAATGTGGAAACACGACATGAGAGAGATGGACACAAATATGGATGACATGTTCGATTGGCTTTCGTTGTTAGTTGAACGCGCTACACGTTTCAATCACATTCAATTTGCTTGAAATTTACGCGGAAAATACTACGATGATGTCTACGTGCCCCACGAGCACAGACTCACAAACACACATACACAATTGCTCACACAGAGTCCCAGTGACAAGTGCAGTGGAGGAGAGCAACCGACAGTAAAACGTAAACGTCTTTGCAGCCGACGTTTTATCCGGAGCAGAGCTTCGCTCACCTCCTACTGCTCGACCACATCGTCGTCTGACTATCGATTCCGCATTGATGTTGCTGTTGTTGGTGTTGCGTCGCCAAGTACTTTTGTTCCATTCATACTGTACACACACACATCCATGCACGCACACGTATGCACTTATGCACAGCGCCTCACGCAGTGAGCGAGCGAGAGCGACTGAGTCTGACGTATGAATATATGCATACGGTTTATGGTGTGGGTGTTTTGGCTGTGGGGGGCCGCCAGGCAACACCAGCAGCAGTAGCAGCGACTGCGTGTTGCAGCGTTGTTGGCTTCAGATCTAAATTTAGCATTTGGCTTGCAACTTCGCAAGGATTTCTTTACACTTTTTCAATACATACACACACGCACATGCAAGCACACTACCGCAATACGTGCTGCACGCGAAAACCGTTTGGCAAATATATCAAAATTTTCCCAACTTACTTGAGTCGATTTTTCTACGAAATTATGCAAAATTTGAAAACAGAGCTTCTTGTTGATGATTTCCTGGATGCCTTGGTGGGTGGGTTGGTTTGATTTGAGTGGGGGTGTGGAATGCTCCTGCCATAAGCTTGCGAAATGCGAATCAAAAACTATGATCCGGACTCTGGACAACAAAACAGCAGCAGTAGCAGCGAGTGTCGAACGATGAATGGGGCTGCTGCTTTGTACTACAATTCAACAGCGACGGCAGCAGCGGCTACGGCTGCGGCAGCACCAGCAGCGACAGACGCGCCGCGCGCTGCTTGGGGTGGTAGGTGTTTGTTAGAGCACGCGACGCGTTTTTGGAGAATTGACAAAACAAGCGCAAGCAATAGATAGAGAGAGAGAGAGAGAGACACTGAGAGAATGTGAGATTGAGCAATGCGAGAACGTGCCAACGTGCATACAAGGCTACTTATTTATGTATGTATACACATATACATATCCATACATATGTGCGCCTGTGTTTGTGTGCGTGCAAAATTGTTGCTATTGTAAGCGGTTTTACGCCAACTACAAAATCCACAACGCTCAGGCCTGGGATGCTGGTGGTGCGCTCTCTTCGGTTTCTCTCATGCTCTCAGTCTATTGTATGTTTGTGCGTGGCTTGCAAAAAATGGCAACCCAATAGACATTTCTCTAGACATCTAATGCAATTAACTTTTCAATGTCAAGTCGCGACGCGCACCCTCCATACACACTTACACTCATACACACACAAGCACAGCACAGACAGCGTGGCTTTCTATTACATTCCACTATAAAACGGCACAATGTACACAGTACCCCACCTACTTACTTACCTGCTCAAGTTGCTTAGTTTCGACTGCACGTCATCCCTTCATCGTAAATGTTAGAGCTATCGGCTGCGTTGATGATTTGCTTTTCAATTGGCTTCAGTTCGTGGTCTGATATGAACGTTTTGTCCAAACGAAAAGCAAGAGTGCGGTATCGGAGAGTGAGTGGGTGAGCACGAGAGTTGTGGCTGTCAAACCAGCTGAGCGACAATGGAAGAGGCAACAAGAAACGCGAGTGTAGTTTATGACGTCATAAGTGACCCTGCTGGTGAAAAATACTCGAAGCTTGATCAAGTATCATGGACTTATAGCACTGAGCTTTTTTACGTTGAGCATTTAACAGTATAAATTAAATTTAAATCGAAATATCAATGAGAAAATAAAATAGAAAAATAAGCTACGTATATCTATACAGTTTATTGTAAATTTTATTTTTTAATATTTAGTTTATTTGGTTGTTTTGCCCTCAGTGAAAAATGAATAATATATTCTTTTAGGATTTTTACAATATTTACAGGTTTTTTTAAGAACATAAATTTAACTCCAGAAATGCTATTACGGTCGATAACAAAATAGCGATTCTTCAATGAAGAATTTTGTTTCGATGTGTACCATCGTTATCTATTATTATTATTATTAGGCTCTGATCAGCTGTTCACAATTAATTTAAAATATTATTTATTTATTTTGGACGATTTAGTTTACCTTACATAAAGACATTAAACATTAAATCGTTAATATAAGTAATAATAATAAAAATAAAAGCCTGACGGGCATAATTTCGAATTTATTTACCCATAACCACTGACCAGAGAACACATAGACCGGACACTCAATGTAAAGCTTTTTGTACACATTTTTTCGAGCATTGCAGCCCCAGACAGCTTTGTATTTACTCGGCCCCGCACTTTTAGGTTCGGCCTACGCAAACCACATTCATTCAGCTTAATGTTTTTGCTTGAGATGGTCGGCTTTTGAACAAGGAATGCTTTTATGCTCAATTTTTTAGTTCTTGTGTGTTCTATTGTTAGTGGTTTTATGGTTAGTGATGTTACTCACAGTAAGCTTTAAAGCTTTAAAGCTTACTATCCGGAAAACTTAAGCAATCAACAGCAACGCTAATAACAAAAACTAAGTTCTCTCGCGCTCGATAACGAGAAGTTGAAATTTGCTTGTCATTTGTTCACCCTGACAGTCTGGCAACGCCTACAGCCACCTTATAGGAATACAGCAGCCCTAGACATTTGGTTCGTCTCTATAAATCCAGTCGCATGTTCAGAGCCACATAAGTGATTTTAATTTGTTCTAATATAAATAATATAAAGTAAAAGCAAAAATGCCGGACGCAGTACAGCAAAGCTTTGTGCGCTCTTTCATTGACTATCTGAAGAAGCAAGTGGATGTGATGTCGCCGGATCAGAGCGAAAGCATTGAAGTGGCCATCCAATGCCTGCAAGCTGCTTTCGATGTTGGGGAGGACGAGGCGGAACAGGTGTCCCAGAGCGAAACAGAAGCTGCCGCAGGTAGTGGCACCACACCTGGCGATGCAAATGCATCGAGCAGTGCCAACCAGTTGGCTGTCAATACAAAGAACATTGATATGTTTGAGCTCTTCCAGTCGTTGTATATTGAACGTAATCCTGAATCGTTGGCTCTGGCCGAGTCCATTAAGAACGAAGGCAATCGCCTGATGAAGGATGGCAAATACAATGAGGCGCTCTTGCAATACAATCGCGCCATCGCTTTCGACCCCAAGAACCCAATTTTCTACTGTAACCGGGCCGCCGCTCACATTCGCCTCGGGGACAACGAACGAGCCGTAACCGATTGCAAGTCCGCTCTGCTCTACAATGTCAATTATAGCAAGGCGTATTGTCGCCTGGGCGTCGCCTATTCAAATTTGGGCAAATTCAACGAGGCCGAACACGCCTATGCCAAGGCCATTGAACTGGAGCCGGACAATGCGGATTACCGGAACAATCTGGAGGTGGTGCGCAATGCACGTAATCAGCCGCCCCAGCTCTCGCAGCTGAGCGATGGACTTAATGCGATGCTGTCGAATCCGACTTTGCGCAATTTGTTTGGCAGCGCTGAGATCGATCTGGAGCATTTGCAGTCGATGACACAGAATCCAATGATCATGAATACAATCGGGCAGCTCTTCAACTTGGGCGGAACAGGCGCTGGGCAAGCCAACTCGGCTGGCGGTGCACCTGGCCAGGTGCCGCCGATGCCTAACGATATGCTGCAGCTGTTCCAGAGCCTGGCCGCTCAGGTGGCTGAGGCCCAACAACAACGGGATCAGACAAGAGGCGCTAATGCTGGTGGTCCACCTGGTGGCCAGCAGCCGGGCAACCAGCCGCCACCCAGCATCTAGATGTGTGCATCCATTTAGTGTTAACCGAAAGAGCGCATCATACATTTATTATGGCTTAAGCTGAAATCAATTGTGTTAAAAGATTAAAAGATAAACACACGCATATGTATACACACACACAGACAGATGATATACATACATATTATATATTTATAATTGATAATAAACACAAATATAACAAATATGATATTGAAGCTTATTTTGCGGCTTTGAATATTATACAGACGTAGCAGCAGTGCATTTACAACAGAATATATTTCATTTGATAAGGCCAAACGATGTATGTGTGTTTATGTCTGAATTTATGTAAAAAGAGTGATGCGTCCGCATAGAAATAATAAATTAAGACATCATATTTCTGTTTAGGTGAAATATATTCGCATGTATCGCCAAAAATAGCAACACAGGGATTTCCCTGAATTTATTTATACCCTGAGTCCATGGTATATGCAAAAGCAATCAGCACAGATTATATGTACATATGTATGTATTCTTGATCGGAGTGAAGCTATTCAACAAATAATATCCCATAGTAAAACCTAAGCATCCAAAGTTTACAGTGCGCTTGTGTGCATGCTTTGATTAGGTATCCATAAAGAAAGCGTAGTATTATTCGAATATATCCAGAGAACAGGATTTCGTTGAGGAGTACAAGTTTAGCTTACCTGATCACATATGTATAAAGTATTTTATATAGGTGTCTTTTTACTAAATAATTTTATATATGATTTATATAAATGTATAAATACTTGCTTTAACTTCCATTTATTTTACTGCACAAATAGAAAATATAACCATATATTTTGTTGCTTTAGAAACTTTATTTTTCCGATTTATTAAAATTTAAAATCTGTAATTTATTATTATTATTATTATTTTTTTGCTGTGGCTACGTTGTACAATAGTGGAGCATAATACGTATGAACAAACAAAAAAAAAAAACAGAAAAATGATAATTATGCTTGTGATATTGATTTGGATTTGACACTCTTTCGTTTATGTTTGTAAAAATGTTAATAAGAGTGTTTGCATATATCTTTAATATATATATTTATATATAATTAGCGAAAGAGTACTTATTTTTCATTAATTTGACTTGATTATTTGTGGTTAAGAGGAGATATTGCAAGTTGTTTACAAACTATTTTTAATTATTATTACATCTAGCTTTTTGGACAGATCAGAGTGAAGGAAACAGCCTGATATGTTAAAACAACGTGCACACACCCATTGCTCGAATAAAATAACGCGTGAGACATTGTTTTAAAATATCAAAGCTAAAAAACTTGCAAGCATCTTTGTATTTCCCTTTCTTTTTCTTTTTTTGTGTATGTGAGTGATTGAGGTTTCATACGAAAATAATTGCAAATAAATAATAAGAGAATTATTAACCGTACAGCATTTATATTTGTGGATCTGTTGAAGGCTCTGAAATATATCAAAAGTGGACAGTTACATGGAAATCATAGTCGATACTCACCCGAAATAGAAAGCCAGGATCGCTGGAGCAGCTGCAGACACCAGCTGAAGGAAGTTTCATCTATAGCCGTATTGTTGTGTAATTTTTTTTTTTTTATAATTGTTTATTAAACGCGGAACGTTGTTAGAGCAAATCTCTAATCATATCTCCTTAAGTTCTTGTTTTTTTTTTTTTTATGTAGTTTCTTCAGTTTGCTGTTGTTTAACGACTAGGATGTAAAAGTTGTTTGTTGGCTATATCTGGTACATCTAATATCTATTGTATCGTCGATTCCTAAAGTTGCCTCCGCCACCTCCACCGCCGCCGCCACCACGTTGTCGCGTGCGATTGTTGTTTCCATAGTTGGAATTCACTTTGCCAGAGTATTTTCCCGATGGTGGTGAATAGAATTTCTGTTCATTAGATGGGCGCGCTTTTTTATCCTGTTGTTCCTGTTCCTGATTCCCATTTGCGGCGCCCTTGTCACCAAATGTGATGGGCACATGTCGTTTTCCTAGCTTGGTCTGCAATTAAACTTATGTTGAAATCTAATATTCAAGACAGTTTAGAGTCAATGCATACATTTTTGGGTACAACCCAGGAGAGAACAATATCGTGTTTGAAAATGGGCGGTGAGTGAAATAGATCGCGTATTAAAACGTTTATATTTGATGTGGTCTTCAAAGCTGTTTGTTTCAATTGATTTTCCTCAGTTTTCAGTTCCTCCGCTGATTTCCCTTTCAGAGCCTCCTCCAGTTTCTTAATGTAACTATAAGATGAAACAAGTTAAACCACGACTTTTTTGAGTTTCCTATATATAGATAGTTACCCCTGTGTACCGCGCGCTAGATATTGTAATCTAGCTCGAAAGTCTTTCAGCTTTTCAGCATCCTCAATAAATGTTAAATTGCCTGGATGCTTCTTGCCCAGCGTGTGCAATGCATAAAGCAAACATTCAGCATGCGAGAATTGAAATGAGGGCGGTACATCGGTCGTATCCTCATCGCTTAGTTTTGGCAAGGGCATATATTCCTATACAGCACAGAAAAGTTAGTAATAACTAAATATTAAATAATATATTTATAATATATTTACCAATAATACGTTGTAGACGGCATTAATGCGCTCGTTGGCATTATCCAGCTTGTCCGTGTAGGTTATCATCTCGGCAAATACTTTAAGTAAACGCAATTGTATTTGATCCTGTGCCACTGCAGTGGCAATCAAGTTCCATGTATTAATTGGCAACAGTTTGTCACAAACGTAGGCCACAAATTGTGTTGATTTAATGGTTTTCTATGGAAAAGTAAATAAAGATTAGATATGATTTTATCAATTGCAACTAGTTTTCATTCTCTTACCGAAAAGTAAGGTGCCGCAGCTGTAGCGCATTGTATAAAACGCTCTACAACTTCATCATCGACTACTAGGGTATCCGCATCGACAGTGTTTAGTTCAGCCTGTTCTGTGGCTAGCCTGACCAGCTCGGCATGGCCGGTTATTGTGCTGCCCAGCTTGGTGGCACCCAAAATGGTCATGCATAGATGAAATTCATCGGCTGTCACATCCTGCAATGCCTTCTTCACTTCCTCCACAATATAATCCTCAATCTCTTTAGTAATAACGTTCGGGCCCATTGTCAACAGCTTGGTAGCAATAAATTTAAAGCAACGTTCTCGAGTTGTCTCATCGCCCGTTGTGATTTGTTGAAACAAGCCAGCTATCGCATTTTTCGTATCCAATTTAATGATGCTAAGCAGAGAATTGTTCACTTGCTGCAGCTCAGTTGCATCGTCCAATATAAGCAGCTGTGCTAATGTGTCGCCTACGCGCACGGTTGCCTCTGCGTTGCCCTGACAGAGCTTCGGCAAATCTTTGATAGCTTGCCGCCGTATCTGAAAGAGGACATAACAGAAATATTTGTTAAATATATAAAATACCAAGTTACCATCGCAACATTCGCGAGCCCAGTGAATATATGTAGTATTTCAATGAAAATGTTAGGTAAACCCACCTGTGTATCATCATCTTCACATAGATCGAATTGTGCATCAATTGCAGTGTCTGAAAGTTCAGGGAAATGTTTGAAAAAGTTGCCAATGAATTGGGATGCCAAGCGTTTCTCCTTTGATGTGCCTTTTACGGCCTGTAGTATCTCTTTGTATTCCGCAACATGCTGAAAATATTAAAAATTCCAAATTGAATCGTTTGCATTAAACTCAACTAGCGCCGGCGCGGTTGGCAAATGTGTACACTCACACACACACACACACTCATACGCGCACATTGGCAAATGCCGTTCATTTTGACGCGTTTTTTTAATGCCGCTTACCTCAGTTATTTTATCACCCGCCTCGGATAATATTTCGTAACACTTATAAAGTCGCTCAATGTTGTCCATTGTTATTGCTTAACAATAATATTATTACTAATAATTACTTTTACAGTCTGGTTTAACACAGCAAAACGTTTTACACGATTTTTTCTTCTCAAACAAAATGGTGTGTCTAGCCAGTGATGTCACTTAATGTAATGAGCAATGTCGATTGTTCGAGCAAGCTATCGTCAAACATATCGAGTAACGTATAGTCAGGAACTTCGATAAATATTTAAAGTTCAGTGTAAATATTAAAAACAGCTTGAATGCAAAATCGCCGGTATTGAAAATATATCAACGAATTCTGAAATAAGTTCAAAATTTTGTCACTCTATTTTAAATTATAACTTCGCAATTGTAATTAATATAAAATATATCTAAAAGATATAACAAATAGGTAGTCACGTAAAATACTTTATTAGACAAATATTTAAAAATTGCAATGAACAAATTATACACTGATTGCCTTTAAGGCCTGCTCAAAGTAATCCACCATCATGGGATATATTTCATCATATTGTTGAATATTCTTGCGCCTGGCATTATCTCGATATCTTTGCAGTGCACCCGATATCAACTCCAATTTCTCGCGCTCTGCCGTATGCCCATCTAACCATTCAATCAGGCGTTCATTCGACCAATTTGCAGTTGTGTGCGGTGACTGGAGTTCGGCTCCGGCATGGCCAAACATGAGAAGGAGTACCACATAGCTTGGTACCAGCGAATCCGCGCCCACTGATTGCTTCACCAGCTCCTGAGGGCTTTGCACAATCAAAAGCGACATTGCCCGGAGTAAACGCGAGGGTTTGCCCAGCTCCGCGAAATTGGGACAAAGAGGTTTCAATGCCTGTTCCATGTGCTGACAATCGTGCTTCAGTCGCTGCCGGCCCGCCGCACTTAATGGTCGCAGGATGCACAGGTTGTGTATGAACAGTTCGATACAACGCTTTGCCAACTCCTGGCCACATTTGCCAGTCATCTCTTTATCATCGAAGAGTTCGATGTGGTGCGACCACGAGCGGGTGACAAACTCCTGCAAAATGTGAAAAAACGTTTGAGATGTTGAGAGATGTCACTAATTGATTACAGATTCTGCTTACCTGTAGTTCTTTCATGTACATAGATGGCCCCGTTGTCGATAGTCGATCCGTATTGAGTCCCGGCTCCCGATGCATGCTTAGGATAATGATGCTAATGGCTGCGATAATCGACTCCATAATCTGCTGCAATATAGTGCCAATCAACAAATCCGCCTGATCCAAGGAGCGGGCGATGATCGTACGTGCAGCACCTGGCGTCCGCTCGAACTGCAGTTGGAGATCACTCAACATGCGACGCACTGAATCCTTATAGTAGTACAGCACATTTGCCAGCTGTGTATTCTGTTGTTGCTGCAAGTTGGGCAAGTCTACAATTTGCTTGGAATCGGCACCCAGCTTGATCTGTGCCTCAAGTTTAGTGCATAACTCCTTGCCGCAAGCAACGAAAACATTAGCTATTGCGATACTAAGCCGGCTATCGATCAGTGCAGCGCTCAGCTCCGAGGAGGCGACTCTTATGAAGTTATCCACGGTCTCATTCCCAGGCAAATCCACGCCAGCCAGGCAGGCTTTAAGATTGGCAGCACACTTGCTCACATAGCCCACCTCTAGGGGCGCAAAAAGTTCGTTATCAAATTGGAATTCATTGTTTAGCCGCTGTTCAAGTCCACGTGCCGAAGTGAGAAGTTTCGACAGACCCTCCTGCAGGGTCTGGTTAACATGTTGGGTACACTCGTCAAAAGATTTGCGCAACAGCTGCTGCACACGCTGCCAGAAGAGCTGTGGGATGCATTGGTCTGATGATTCACTAGTGTAGCCAAATTGATTAATTTGCTCCAGCGACATTTTAAGCAGCTTGATCTGGGTGCAGCTCTCATAGAGCTCATCGTAGAGCAGCCAGTGCAGCGATTTCCAAAACTTTGCGCGAAAATTTTGAGTTGTAGTTAACTGCGGCGCCTTGCCAGGTCCTCGATTAGCCTGGGACTTGCTCGAGCTACTGCTGCTATGGGTGGGCGAGCGCACGGCATCCGCTTTATTGAGCACGGATATATCAGTGCCTGCAAAGCACTCCTTCAGCGATTGCTCCATGTCGGCGATGAATGTGGCAAGTAAATTTTCAAGGGATTTCTCCAGCGTGTTGAAGTTCATAAAAATCTGCATACGATTATAAAGGGATGTAGAATTCAAAATTCAGACAGACTTTAGTTATAAGATTACCTTTAGAGCATTCACCACTTGCGTCTGGTTGCGCTCCTGCAGACCGGTGACAAGCTGCATCTGGGTGAGGTTGCGGATTTTTTGTCTAGAGCTTAGCACATAGGCACGTTCCTCTTGTATAAACTCAATGTCCTTCAGATCCTTGTCTTCTATCAACTGTCCCAGCTCGAAATGCAGCTCCGCTTGCCTTAACACATCTTTCGTGTTCTTAAGCTTGGCCGTCAGCGTGAGCAAGGTGCCAGCAGAGCGCAGCAAGTGTGACACGTCATGCAGTCGACCCAGCACTTGTGTCTGATTCTCGACTAACTGATATTGGCCATCAACTTGGCTCTTCAGACGATGTCCTGTGGCTCGAACCCGTTGCACGTCCTCGGCTAGCGAGTTGAGTGCTGCATCGAAACGGCCGGCGTGTGTTGCCTGCTGCAGCAATGCGCCATGCTTGTCACGCACCTGTTGATGCAATTCCTCTGTAGTGTTCTGCAGACGTTTCGAGAGCTCCTGGATTTGCAGGCCAATGGTCAGATGTGACATGGCAGAGGTGTAGTCGTCATCACTATCCAAACTGGAGTTCTCATTTCTGGCATTAATTGTATTGCCAGTCATCGTGTTAGATACCCTAGAAAAGGGTTTTATTAACTATTTGTATTATTAGATCATATATTTAAACATTAACAAATAAAACAATACACGTACATTGCCTTGCCTTTGGATTAGTATTTATATAGCCGCTATGTTATTTTTAGTCAATTTTTGTTTGTTTTGGTTCTGTACGGAGTTGGTATTTTATTTGTGAGGCAAATTTACGCCCTTTGCTCATTGATTATTTTGATTTCTGTTGGTATGTTTAAATATTAGAATTCTTAAAATAAAAACATAAATTATTATTTATGTATTAATTACTTTTTTTGCTTACTATAAAGTTCAATTCAAATTACAGCTTGTGTGTTTTGACTTGCACTTTGTTTGGTATTTTAATAAAGAATCTAAATTTAGGGAATTTTATTATTTTTGTTTTGTTTTCCGGACAAGGTAAAATTCGTATATATTTTTTATTGTTAGCTGTGCAATGTCCGATGACATCAAAAATTACTTCAATGGCTTGCTGCATAAGTAGGTTTTGTATTTTGCAATAATTGCTAGCTTGCTGATTAAAAATTGCATCTTGGTTGCAGGGTCAGCGGCCTCTATGTCATACAGATAACGGACCGAGATGGCGTGCCACTCCTACGGGTCAGCAACAGCCAGGAGAAAAATGTGGACTTCGCATTGATGCCGTCATTTATACCCACATTTACCACAGCCTGTGATCAGGCTAGCAAACTGGGCCTAGGGCGCAATAAAGCAATCATTTCCATGTATTCCAATTACCAGGTGGGTGAGGGATTTATGAGTGTGCATTAGATTTGTAAATTTGCACGTACGGAATACTCCAATTTAGGCCATGCAAACAGACAGTTATAAAAATATTAAGTTTCAACTCTTTCCGACAGGTGGTGCAAATGAACAAATTGCCATTGATTTTGACATTCGTTGGCGCCGAGGACTGCAATACGGGACACATTCTGGCGCTGGAGCACCAAGTGGACGGCTACCTGGAGGACATGAAACTGGCCGTAACAGAACCATAAAAACGCCTTTGTACAATTACGAATGTAGTAGTATATGTGTATATTTAAAAAATGAAACTTTTTACTTGGCTTAAATGCATACGCTGAATAATATTTGTCTACAACTGATTCGCACAATGATGAGCGCCACCTATGGGGAATGATCAGCAAATCACTTTACATTTCAATTAACTTCCTTATCCTTCTTTCCTTTTCTCTTTTCACTTTGTTGCTTGTTTTAAAACTAGAATACATTCCAAAGATTGTTTGCTCCAAATCAACGTTTTAGCTAGATTCCTTCACTTAAAGCTCGTCGTGCTGGCTCTGTGCAGAGGCTGTGTAGGCATCACTATCGCAAGCGGCGGGCGTCTCAAATTCATAATAGTATTCGCAACGATTCGGCTCGCTAACCGACGTGATGCGCGGTTCCAATGCACACTTGATATTGATAATCGCCGAGCGCTGCGGTCCGTTCCAGCAGGCGGCGCCTTGTGCATACCTTTGTTTTGTATATTTATTGGCGCCCTCGCCTACCCATTGATCCCATCGACCCAAAGTGGTTTCCGCACCGCCATTACGCGGCTTCTGCGACACCCGATCGAAGGGGCACAGTGTGTAAACATATTCACGATCCTCAAAGGTGTAGCACTCGCCATCCAGCACCGACCACTCCTCATTGGGTCCGTAGTCTTTGCCCTCCTGTTCATCCAGTTCCTTGATTTCATGCTCGATCTCACGTATATGTCGAGCCACCTCCTCGTACGCATTGCGCGCCTCGTTCGCCTGTTCGATCAGACGCTGGGTTTCAGGATCGTAGATGGGCGCCGCTGTGGTTGTCTCTACATCCGGTGTAGCTTCGCCAACTCCCACATCGGGCTCCTCATCATCGTACTGTTCCTCATCCTCGCCGTCTTCCTCATCGGGCACGTCCATGTCCGCATGTTCTGCAAGTCAAAAGTTAAAGTAAATCAATTTACTCTAATTTCATTTTTTGCTCACCTCCCGTTGGCTCCGGCTCTAGTTGCTGGGCATCTTTTGAGTTGTCCTGCTGAGGCGCTCGCTCTTCCGCTGGCGTGGAGACTGGGGGCTGGAACAGTCCATCAGCTAACATTTTCAGTGGCTTGATACGTGGCCAGGCCAGGGTGATGAATGCATCAAGATCCATGCGGTCGCGTTCGTCCAAGAAATATTTGGCCTCCTCCACAGTGACAACTCCATTGCGATCCCGATCGAGATTCATGTCCACCATCAATTCGGTGATCTCCACGAAGCCATCCTTGTTTGTATCGTAACGCACAAAAGTGAGCGAGGCCTCCTGTCGCATTTGCTGTGGCTCCTGCTCTGCTTGCGCAGTGTCCGCATCTAGTTCACGTTGTTGCTCCTTGAAAGCTTCCACGGCCTCATGTTCTAGGGCTTCGGCAGTGGCCTTAAGCTGCTCCTTTTCAGTTTTGAGTGCTTCTTGTTCCTTGATGCGCGCATTCAGTTCGGAACGACGTGCTGATCGATCCGCTTTCAGTTGCTTGCCCCGGTTGATCATCTCTTGCCGCTTCTCGGCACCTTTCATATGAAGCTCCGCTTCGTTCCGACGTTGAATAGCAGCGGCGGCACCTAAAGCAACGCAAGTGTTTTCACATTGCGACTCCTCCAGTTCGTCGCTGCCATCGCAACAGTCGCAGATTCCATCCTGCACCTGAGAGCTGGGAATGTCAACGGACTGATGGCCGGTGTTGAGGCAATGGAATTGTCCATTGGGACAGGCCGCGGTGCCGGGCTCATCGCTGCCATCGGCGCAATCACAGTAATCGTCATTTATCTGCGTAAATGGTATTGTTCTGCTTCCATCGATGCAACTCCATTTTCCATCCGGCTGCGGTTGGTAGAGCGGAGCCTTGACTAAAGAAACGCCGCGAGGCCGTGGTACATCAATGCCTTGAACACCGGTTAGTGCATATACTAATAAAGCTATTAACAGTAATGGTAAAAATTTTTGCTGCATATTAAAAACAGTCCGCGCACTTGCTAAAGAATTACGTGGAATTTTTACTCTCGTAAATGCCGGTCTGCGATTAAGTGTGCCGCAAGCTGTTGCTGCAAAAATACCAAATCTGACTTACAACGCACACCAGCAGTTATTCAATGTGGGTCACACACGTCAGAATGTGGATGTTGACACCTCGTCTTAAGCTTGTAGATGGGATATAACAGAGATGACTAAAAAATACTAAATAATTAAAATGAATATACTACAGTCACTTGTAGCATGCCAAACATGTGTCAGCACAGTTTGAATAGTTGTAACTACTTGTTTGCTTACATTAGTTATATGTGTGCAGATCATATGGCAACTTATGCTGATATCCACATTGTACCGTGTGTAGACACATTAATTTACGCGCACTGGTAACTCTGGCAATCAGCTGCAGGTTTGTTATTTAACTTACCTCCAGTCCTAGATTGGGAGCAAATATCTTGAATAACTGTAAATATGGGTTTTCTGACACAAGTTTGGGCCAAAGCAGCTGCGGCAACAGACCCGGCTCCAGCAGATGCCGCGGTGCCAAATGAAAAGCCCGTGCCGGACACAAAGCCAGACGCTGAGCAACCCAAAACGGAGCGTAAGGAATGGGGTTATGATCTTTATCCGGAACGTCGCGGCGAAACCTTCAAACCTAAATGGTCGCGTATATTGTTCGGCATGGAGGGTCAGGAGAACCTGGATCGCTACAAATGTGAACAGAATGTCTACTGGTGTGTGAAGAATGGCCCACTGGTGAAGTTGATGATGGGTGCACTTCGCAGCTCGGGCTGCCCCATGGATCTGCGGCGTCACATCTCCTGCGAGGTGTGCGACCCCAGTGTAACCGGCGGCTACGATCCCGTGCTCAATCAGATTGTTGTCTGCCAAAATATGGCGAAAAACAAGAGCATGGTGCATGGTGTGCTTACCCACGAAATGATTCATATGTTCGACTACTGCAATAACGATTTGGATTTCCGCAATGTGGATCATCTGGCATGTACGGAAATTCGCGCCGCCAATCTGGCTCACTGTTCCTTCCTGAGTGCCATGATGCAGGGCGATGCGTCGCCCTTCAATGTCAAGGAAGCGCATCAGGTATATCAAATGAGATTTGAGAATATATAGAATTTTTTAATATGGATTTTAGAACTCTTTAGTATGTTATATAAATACAATGAGCTGAGTCAGGTATAAACGCGTATTTAGATCTGAAATTATTATAATGTGATGATGAAATCTAGAGTCAAGGTTGTGCATTTAAAAAAGAGGCTCTTAAGTAATACTTTTTTCATTTTAAACCTATTATAATAATATTATTTATATATTCTTATTATTATTATTTTTTTTTTTTGTTCCAGAACTGCGTCAAATCCAAAGCTTTGGCCTCAGTGCTAGCTGTGAGAAATGTAACCCATGAGCAGGCCGTAGCTGCCGTCGAGCGCGTCTTTCCCAAGTGCTACGCGGATCTGGAGCCCATCGGACGTAGAATAAGGCGTAATTCGATGGATCAGCAAAAGGCTTTCATGGAGGCGCCGATGTATGGCTACGATGTATATTAGATTCGCTTTATTTTTTTTTAAAGCGCAAAAAAGTTCAATAAAATTAAATTTTAAGACCACGCCAAGGGCAATTATTGCAATGGATTATTACACAACCAAAATTTGTTTCTATAATTGTTTTTAATTAAATTAATTTTGCACATTAGCTTTTATGGATGTTTTTCAAGGTTGAATGCGAAAAAATATATTTTTTTTTTATTTATATGTAGCCAAATCGCTTTGGCTTTTAAGTTGGGTCAAGTTTTTCTCAGCGTGCAAAACATGGAGGATTGTGAAATAATTGGCATTATATTCGAATTCATAGGCGATGTATTGTTTGGCTGTAAGAAAAAGGATTGAAAAAATATACATTTTATAATAATGTAAATCTGCCTTTTGCTAGCGGATGACAGCGACGATTACAATTAAAAGGACGTTTCCAAATAGCCAAACGAGACAAAACAATAAAAATAAACATTAATTAAATTACTAAAAAAAAAAATAAAAATAAAAAGAACTAATTAATCACATTCGAGCTATAAAAACCCTGGTGAAAAATCATGGAATTATTATAAAATTACATCAAAATGGATTGTTGCGCTATTGTAGAAATATTTGTGGCCTTTCTCAACGATCTATTTTTCTCGGATATCAGTAAGTTAATATGATCTATACATCTATAAATATATCTATATGAAAACTCCCACTTTCTCTCTCTATATATGCATTAGCTGATGAGGAATACTTTGGCGAATACCATGATGATGATTATTATTACGACTAAAAATGTCCGACATCAACGCAATCTTTTAATAAATTTGTTTTGAACATCAATTGTAATATAATTTTATTTTTCAAAGGAATTGAATCAGCTTGCCATTGACCTAATAGTTCATGTGCATCGGTCAATATAATTGCGATATAATCGTGATTGATTAAGGCTAACTTTACGGCTCATTAAATGAGCTCTGTCGCACACAAACTAAATATTCCAAATGGAGAATCGGTGTGATTTAGTTACAGCACGTTAGGCGTGACGAATAGAATATGTTTTGGGAACTTTTGGGCGGTATATTTGATTTCATCATGGGTCTCATATTTCCCAGTAAGTAGAGTTGTCTTTAAATATAGAGTAATCCCAGCAGACTTTCCCCAGGTTCTGATGATGATGACGATGCGCCAGATTCGTCGGAGGTGGAAACTACAACTTAATATTCACATATCTGCCTATATGCCGTATAAGCTATACACCAAAACACGTCGTTTTATATTTTGCATGATATAATTTCGTATTAATATTCAGAAAACACGGTGCTTAAATATATAATCTACGAAGGATAAAATATACCTAAAATTGCTTTATTACTATTCCAGATAAGTAAAGAAAGCCATTTAAAACGTACTATTTACAGGGTATGTGTAAAAGTGTGAGTGTGTGCTAAAAACAATTTAAAAATTGATTGCTTAAAATAATTTATAGAGTTTTTTTAGTTCCTGCTTCTTCCACTTGGGCAGCTCATCAAATTCATAGAAGGACATTTTAAAGACGGAGACGAAATCGTCATGCGTGAGGTGAACCTAAGGAGATGAGGGAAAAATATATTCAATTAAATACTTGCTTTTAATATTGATATTATATTTTTTATTTCGACTAACTTCGCGTCTCAGCGGATTGATTTCGGGCGGTAGCATATCCATTTCCTGCACCAGCACTGGCAACGGATACTTCTTGTGTCCGTCGAAATCCTTTTGGTTGTTGTTTAGGATTAGAGCGGAGCCTTCCTTGAGGCCATTGCTAGGCGCTATGGTGGCCAGTTGCTGGCGCATTTGCTCGTAGGTCACAAAACCCTGTGGGGATAGACAAATAACATTTAGTCGGATCTACATAAAGATATACATGTGTATATATTTATGTAAGCACTCTCTACCTTGCCCAGCTCATTGTCCCAGGTCTCGAAGAAACCCTTAAACACATTCGGCTCCGCATGCTGACGCACCACAGCCAGCGCCGTGGCCGCGCGTCTGCCGAATGGCGCATTCTGCACATAGCTCTGGGCCACGGTCGTATAGCGTTCGCGCTCCTGGCTGACCGCATGCTCGCCCAGCCACACATAGGCCAGGGTGCCCGTGTCGAGTATGTATGTGCAGTCGGCGCTGAGATCCCGCTGCTCGAAGCCGAGTATCTCCTCGCAACGCAAGTGCCTTTGCTCCCACCACACCAGGAAGAGCTGCACCGGCGGACGCGGTTTGCTGGGCATCGTTGTATTCAAATAGCAGTTGTTGCTCAGGGTCGGGGAGATGTTGCCAGTGCCGTTGCCGTTGCTATTGTTGCTGCCGTTGCACATGCTGCCGGCGCCGCTGCTGCTGCTGCTGCTGGTGGTGCTGCTCGAGCACGACTGGCCGTTGATTACCAGCGACTGGTTGAAGTACATGGCCACCGATTGCCAAAACTCCTTGCTCTCCTTGCCCTCCAGCACCAGGGAGCTCTCGCCGAGCAGAGCGCCCACTGCCTTGGCCATTTCACGAGCATCGCCCGTGCTGCTCTGGCCACACCAGACCCACACATGGTTCGTCTTGATGGCATAGCAGTCCTTGGAGCTAATCGAGGACAGCGGATGCTCCTCAACTGCCTTGGCATTGTAGCTGGCATCGCCGTAGATCTTCAGCAGAAACGTCTCCAGCATTATGTTCGTCTTGAAGTCCCAGTTCAGGTTGTTATTGGAGTGCAGCAGCTCGCTGCGCTGGCCGCGCATGATTATCAATTTGCCCTCGAACATTTGCAAGAAGTGCGGCGTCTCATCGAACTCGTAGAGTTGCACAAACATGCCGGGCTCTTTCAGAGACTCGAAGCTGGCCATGGCATAGCTGTCGGCCTTGGCTATTGTCTCGGCTGACGCCTCGGAGCCATTCCACTGATAGATGATGCTCTTAATGCCCACTGAGGCCAGATCAGCGGGCACAACGGTGGCGCACTGCAATATTTTCGTAATATTTCGGTTAATAATATGCAACGATATTTTCTCACTATTGTGCGCTTGCAGCATCGTCTATTAAAATACAATGGCAAACCGAAACGAACCCGACTGGTGAGATTCCCTCTTTCATTCACCTCTTGAATTGTCCAAACAAACATTTGCATACAGAGCTAATAAAACACGCCGATGCAACAGTTCACCCACATAAGCTATGAAAACATTGACAAACAGAGCCAACAAAGCTCTTGACCTTTGCTGCAGATTAATGAAAATCATAGAGAAAGGCGAGTATTTTTATAGCGGGTTTGTAAGAGGGGAAATGAAAGGGAATTAAGTTGAGAGATTATGAGTGCGTGAAAGTGGGCGTAGATGATATGAAGAAATAGTGGGAAAAACATATATGAAAATCGCAGAGTAGAGAGGGAATGGGGGAAGGACGTTCCTGAGAAGGTATGAGAGTTACTGAGAAGATAAAAGTATATGCATATATGAAAATCACAGAGATAGCTCATGCAATGAGGGAATAAGAGAGGATATATTAAATGTTTTCATAATACCATAACAATATTTTCATATTCTGTATGCCCTTATGAAAATCGCAGAAGTAGGAAAAGAGAGTGAAGAAGGAATAAATAATAAATAGCAATTCTAAACTATTTTATAGTGTCATACAGTTCTTAGTATACCCTCTTAGTATACCTACTCACAGACTTGAATAGGCTAAATTCAAACTACTTCACACGCTTATAATTTCAGACAATAAACCACCAAGCCAAGATTTACAGCCACCCACAGCGTCTTTACACCCCAGCTGAACGCAGCGCCCAAAGACTCAGCGATCAGCACTAATTCGACCGCCAACACTGTTTGCGCACTCACCTGCACCGTGTAGTTGACCACATAGGAGGCGTTGGTGGTGAACACCGTTGCTTTGGCCGGTGGCAGCTGCTCCATTTCGTCGCCGCAGATGCGATAGATGATGCGTTCGCCGCGTCCATCGTCGACCAGCTGCGTATCGGCAGCCATCTTGGGCCTCTCGCCGAGCAGAACGGCATCCAGTTTGCCAAACTTGGTGGAGACGGGCTTGTGGCCGCGCGTGTTATCCTGCCAAACGCTGAGCCAGTTGCCAAAGAGGCGCTTAAACTCAACGGGCTCGCGGCCCTCCAGCACACGCACCACCAGGGTGGTGTTCGGGTACTTCTTCTTCTTGACAAAGGCGCGACCATTGCCCATGGCAGTGAGCGCATCCGCTTGGGTCGCCTGAGCGCCCACCCACAGCCAAATGCTCTGCCCGAAATTGTCGAGCAAATAGACGCCGTTCGCATCGCTCAGATCATCCTTGCTGGGCATGCCCACGTCTAGCTGATCCAGATGCAGCCGGCCACGCTGATTGCACTTGTAAATGCGAAACTTGTTGGCATTGGCATCGCTCTTGCCGCTGCCGTTGTAGCCATTGAGTCCATTGATGCCATTGATGCCGTTGCCGCAGCAGTTGCTGGAGTCGTAATCGCCGCCCGACTGACGTGCCTGATAGACCATGCGATGCTGCAGCGGCAATACCTTGTTCCATAGCTCCTTCTGCTCGGCACTCATCGACTGCTCGTAGCCATCGTCGACGACGCAGAGCGGCACATCCTTGCGCTGCTGTCGCTGCACCCAGGCCAGAGCGCTGCGTCGCTCGATCCCGGCACTGGAGCGTCCAATCCAGACGAATGTCATGGCATCCATTAGTAGCACCATTATGTAGTCCGAATTGAAGTGCGCCCAGTCAACGTTCGCCAGCTCAATGGCACGCAACCATTTCCGACCGTACAGCTGAAAGAGACGCGTTTGCTTCGGTGCATTCAACAAACTGCCGGAGAGCACACTGAAAAAGCGGAGAACGATATTATACATCAATATTTCCAGCAAATGGCAATAAATAACCAACTCACTCGTAGCCATTCTTGAAATAGGACAAAAAGCGTGCACTCTCATGATGCTGCGACTCTCTATAGATCGATGCCACATTGCCCAAATACGTGTCCAGCTCTTGGATTTTGTGCACCACATTGGAGCGATTCTGCTCGGAGACCTGACTGCCCAGCCAATAGTGTATATAGCGCTCCAGCGGCACATTCGGTTTCTGTTCACGCGTCTACAAGGGATTACAGATGCTGCTTGAGTTTACAGAATCTTTAAATAATTGAGAGATATATGTATTTACGATCGTTTCGTGGCTGGCATAGTGGCCCACTAGATTCGCGGCATAGATGATGTAGGCACAGTTGTCGTAGAAGGTGCCGTACTGTGGTCGAGCCACTGCCTCAAGTCGATCCTCGTCGATTTTCCAGATCGCAAAGCTGATCGCATTCTTGGGCACCTTACGAAATGTGGCATCCACTTTTAGGTCCGGTATTGAATCCGGACGCACCTCCTAAAAACGAAATTCAAGATTCAGTTGTTAGAATAGAATTGAAGTTTAATTAATCAAATGATAGTTTGCCAAATAATATTCCCGGTCAGTCGATGGTAAAAAAATCAAAGGTATTTTCAGTGCTCTAAATGCTCCAGAAAAACATTAAAGAGCTAATTATTTTAGGTGTATTATTCAATCCGTATACACGTATATGTACATATATTTATTAGCCTGATCAACTTTCGAAGCTACATTTTCTGTAAGTGTTTCTCAACACTTGAATGCAGTAATTAAAGACGCTTGTCAGGCTATTAAAAGCCAGCCGAACGAAAACACCTTTCAAATGTTTCACAATTGTTTCCCAAACATGAGACACTTTTCGCATAGCTCGCAGGCTCCACCAAAGCCAAAGTCAACGCCATAGGAAAGGATGCACCAAAAAAAAAAAACTAAAAGAAAAATCGAAAAGCAAAATGAAAAACTAAAGAAAAACCTGCTGAACGAGCACGCTCTGCATTTTGGCTTTTCCCGATTGCGTTTGCGCTTTGCACGCCTCGGCCAGAGCGCGTCAAATGATAGTGAAAACTATACCAGAGTGACGGGCAGCAAGTTTAGATACCCGCTCAAGAGAGTGAAGTGGGTATATTGTTTCGCTGACGCGGTAAGGACTACAATCTCTAGTGCACAAGGTATTCTATTATTTAAGGTGCTACAAAATTTAAATTTGGTATATATGGATATGGTATACGATCTACCCATTAAACTCTTCCTCAGTCAAGCACAAAATTCAATGACTTAGTTTATATTGACCTTCTCCATACAGTTTCTATATTCTATATATACCTCTAGATGCCTATTATTCCAGACCTCCTTTGAGCTTAACCTATCAAATATATAAAGCTACAACTTGAACACTAAAGGAGTGTTTTGCAGTCGGTAATACCCAACTTTAACATTCTTTCTAGTTTTTTTAGTGAAGTTTTTTATTATTTTTTTATTGAACATTAATTTTCTTATATATTTATGGAACGTGTGGAAAGTGGTTGCCGTTATATTGACGATTGGGAGGCTCCTCACTCAGCTCAATTAATTTATCTGTATATATAATAAATATATATATAGTGCATTAGCTTAATGATCTTTATCCGAGTTCGTGTCTTTGACTCTGACTGCATAATAGCTTTATTTATGTATAAATATTTAGCCAAATGAAATATCTTTTGTGTGTGTGTGTGTGTGTGTGTTTAGTGTGCAGCGAACAAAAACGAGTTCAGGCTATGCCTGACTGCTATGTTGAGCGGGCGTGGGGGCGTGGCATGGCTCACTAATATGACGCCATCGACCATAAACTTCGGATGACATTTTGCCACACAGAAATCACAGCCCACAAATAGCAATTATAATTGAAATTGTCAATTACTCATAGAGCGGACGAGGAACAGCAACAAAAAAAAAAGAAAACATAGTAACTACAATTCGTCAAATGTTAAACATTTTAATTATATTGGGAGTATGTCCATGGCATCTGATAAAAACAAAGAAGACGAGAAGAGTGACTTTTGCTGCTGCTGCTGACGACGATTGATGAAGGAGCGCAACTGTTGACAGCTTCAACTGCATTTATTATCGGACAAGGTAGAGTCTCAACTCAAACTAACTGGCACATCAGAGAAACACAGATAGAGATAGAAATATATATATATATATGTATATATAGAGAAAGATACATCTTTGAGTTACTATTTTGAGACACTTTGTCAACTTGTAGAAAACTTTCACAGCTTTTGTTTTCGCTCGGCAGCAATTAGTGACAAATTATCTGACCTAAAAGAAATGTTCTTAACACAGACTGAAAAAAAAA